CGGCACTGTTTTGTGTTTGTTGATGTTACATTAACAGTAAATCCACCGACTTATTTGAACACTTTATTGCTAGATAATATCAAATTCTATTTGGCTATAGTCTATTCTGCGTAATTCTTGGTAATTTAATCTCCTTTTTGTTTTATAAATGTCACAGTATTACACTGATATTTCACACATTGTGATGTGATATCTTCCAGCCCGATTTAAAATACTTTACTAAAATGGAGGAGCCTGGTTAGGCTGCTTTTCATTTTGGTAATATACCCATCTGTTTGATGAACTTGTATTTATCTGTTGGTATTTTGAGGATGTCTTCTGCTCCACCATCTTAATTAGCTCTTCAGCATATGATTAGTTTCCTTTAACTACGTTAACACCTCTGATTTCTCAGTCCCTGTTTATGGTCATAAATGAGAAGCAGATGTTGCCTCGTTTGACCACGTTCAACCTCAGTATGTGGGGCTGAACAATATCAAAGTGCTCTATGAATCCTTGTTTACATGTTACGTTTGTTCTGAGTGCCAGCCTGCAGGCTCTGGCCCGGTCTTTGTGGTTAACCGGGAACTCCACAAAGTAAATTTTCCACAATGATTCACCTGAACTTCATATTCTCACACATTAATGGTTTGTTTGGTGGGGAGACTGATGGAGCTGTGGCAGATATTCTGGCTGTATGTTTCATCAGTGTAATGATTGTTCCTCCTATACTTATTATGTTTATAATGGTGATCTTGTGGTTATTGGCAGTGTCTTTTTTTTTGGTGTTTTACAGTGATAATAGTGCCAGCTCTCCTTACGTTTTACCCCTGAATGAGCCAGCATTTTACTTCAGTCAAAGGTATGTTAGAGGGTAGGTTCTCTATTAAAGGGGACTCAGGAAATTCACTATTGCCATACAGCAAAGGCTTGGCATGCTGATGCTTTGGCTGACTCCTAGCTAAGGCCAGAGCAATGGCTATCCTCAGGGACGATCTTCCCAGGGTTCATAGAGGTATTTGGCAGATCTGTGCATCTGCGCATGTGCAAAGCTGTACAGGATTTCCAACAGGGGTGGCAGCAACTGTGTCAGCCTGGGAGTTCATGAAACAAGGAATTCAGTTAACGCTAAACAATCATAAGCACCAGATCATTAAAACAAACAGTCCTTTGACAAGCTATGATTCAGTGTGATGTGGCTCCTAGACTCTGCAGGTGAGCTGTATTGGGGGAGGAATTCACTGCACCCCCCATGAACAATGTCAAGGCCTCAACTCCTGTCTCTATTGTTTGTGGCTCAGTAGACGTGTTACACGGACCCCTTTTATAAAGTGTTTTTACTTTTCACCATCTGAAAGCTGATGTGCGCACTGTGTTACCTGCAACTTCACTTTGTGGATCGGTGGGCCTTTTGCCATTTCAGTAATTAAACATTTCCCACAAGAATCAGACGTATCATGATCCAATGAAAGGCGTGGCTGTTTGACATGTGAGCTGGAGGAGCAGAAGGGGAATGCCGCTCCCAGCCTTTGCGTGAGCTGGGGTCCTGTTTGCCTTACATAGGGACCTGGTGAATTCTGCAGTAAATCTGCATGAAAGCCAGGGGATGTCCCATCCTGCACTCCCTGTCTATCTCTGTCCCTCCTCCTCTCTCTCCTTACACCATTAAGTCCAGTCTGGGGCACAGCTATAAAAATCTCAGCTTCCCTTTTCTATTTATAGGGCCCTCGCATACTGACATTTAGATGTGTCCATGCAGTGGGATTGAAGCAAAGAGCAGATTAATTTATTATAAGCACAAGCTGATGTGTATTTTCGCAAAGCAACTTACAAATGCATGCAGGTAGACTGGCAGATGCATTAAACAACATATAAGGGTCAATAACACAAACATAAGAACATAAGAACATAAGAAATTTACAAACGAGAGGAGGCCATTCGGCCCATCAAGCTCGTTTGGGGAGAACTTAGCTAATAGCTTAGAGTTGTTAAAATCTTATCTAGCTCTGATTTAAAGGAACCCATGGTTTTAGCTTCCACTACAATAGCAGGAAGACTATTCCATACTCTGACTACACGCTGTGTAAAGAAGTGCTTCCTCAAATTTGTTTTAAAATGTTCTCCCGCTAATTTCCACTTATGGCCACGAGTTCTAGTATTTAGACTAATATTGAAATAGTCATTTGGCTGAACAGCATCCAGACCCGTTAGAATCTTATAGACCTGAATCAAGTAGTGTGGCTAATCGGCATGGTAAACAAGCTGCTCATATGGAGTGCTAAAATCACAGCACAGGTTAGCTAGTACCTTATGTCTTTTAGTGCAAGCTTGTTTATCCGCAAAATTATAAGTTTTGCTTTCAAGTATAATGAAATCTTACATTACCTGGTCTAAAATGGGATGAATGATTTGAATGATTGGAGCGGGATCAAACCCGGCTCTGGGAGGTTCGCACTCTGCCAGCTGGTGATGGTGTGCCAACTGGAGACCCGGACCTGCGGGTTGCCTGGATTTTAATAGTTTTATTTTCTTGAGAATAACATTATTTCATTTGTTACTGGGAGAAAATAAGAGGGTAGAAATATGATCACAGGAAATCTTGTGTTTTGGTTGCAAAAGCTATAATCCCAAAGGAACGAGAAAGTCAAATATCTGGCAAAGGAATGATCTCTGAAGAGATCTGTTACAAATTTAAAGATGATATGTAGCATGGTGGTATGTAACCAGATGGTGGCACAGGAGGTAGTGCTATCGTTCGGCAACTGGAAGGTTGCAGGTTCGAGCCCTGGTTCTTCCTGACCCCATCAAAGTGTCCTTGAGCAAGACACTGAACCCCAAATTGCTCCCGGTGTGCAGGTTGGCACCTTGCATGGCAGCCTCCGCCACTGGTGTATGAATGTGTGTGTGGATGGGTGAATGTGAGGCATAAATTGTAAAGCGCTTTGAGTACTCGTAGGAGTAGAAAAGCTCTATATAAATGCAGTCCATTTACCATGATATCTAAAGCTTCAGCATTCATACCATTTTGGCCAAATTCTCCTGTCAATACACTAATTTCTTTGATTTCCTTGCATTCCGATTACTGCTGTGACATCACAGTGGTATGGGGGCCAAGCTAAACCACCTTCAGGTGTGTGTGCTGCCTTGTGATGCTGTGGAATGCAAGCCCTTGGTGAGAGCTGTTGATGAGAGCTGTCCTTTTGGAAAAAGCAGCAATTGTTATTCACACGCTACTGAAAAATCCGGCATGCATGCACAGGTTTGGGGCCCCAGGGGAAATCTGCTTCAAGGCTGTTTTTCTAAAGGAGAAATAAAAGGTGTATTCTTTCCTATATATGTAAATATCCGAATGGACCAGTGTGAGGTATTTTCCGGTGGCTGGAGTGCCAATCCTGCCACCAAATATGTTTTTCCCTGTAAGTTTGAGGACCTCCTGGATGTTGATTAACCTCATACCGAGGACGAATCAGTTGCAGGTTACGGGCCTTGCTCAAGGGCCCAATGGAGTAGAATGACTCTGAACATTCACGAGATTTGAACCAGCAACTTTCCAGTTACAGGCACAGTTCCCTAGCCTCAGAGCCACCACTCCACCTATTTATTCTTAGGCTTTGGTATAAATGATTATTTCTCTGGGTGCTTAGACGTTTATTTAGCAGGCGTGTTTTTCCAAATCTCTGGCTTCATGAGATGAGTGATACGATTGCTCTGCTGGCCTGGGATTGTATCTTCCCTCTAGGTCTCAGCCTTCTTCTCCCACACTTCTGCTCTGTTCTCCCCAATGTGGTGGTGTGCAGTGGCCCTCAACCAGCAGTTCACACCCCCATTCGTGCTTTTCTGGGTTTCTCAGTGAGGACAGGACAGCAGACGCCACCTTGTGTGTGGTACAGCATCATAGTCCACATGATCTGCAGGACAGGGACCACTGTTCACATGTTCAGCTAGAGGTACACCGGTGCTCAGCATGAATATGAAGGGCTTGGCTGACCTGGGTTACCTGGTGACCTTTAATTATCTCAGTTCTGTTCTTCCAGCTGAGACCTTTTTTGGTAAAAGCTTCCAAACTTTCTGCTTCCTCATTTAACGTCATCTTCAGAGATTTTGGGAACTTGGCTGCCTCTATTCTCATGAACACCAAACTTGAGGTGATAACCCTAACTTCAGATTGAATGCCCCCCCCCCCGATGTGTTAAATCATATACACAAGGGCCCTTCTGGATTTCCCCTTGTTAACTACAGCTGGCATAAAGTTGATTGATCCGAGAAAGTTTAACAAATCAGCCAAGGTAAACCACACACTTCATTATTTTGATGCATTTCCCCTTCTCCTGTGAATGCTTCTTACTTAAAGCAGAAATTCCCATATACCTGTTTTGCGGGTAAAAGTAGAGTGTGACAGAGGACCACATTTAAGATGGAAACTCGAACCCACTATGTTTACTAGGCCTTATCTGTCTCACCCTGTGATCTGCCCTCCTGTCACCCAAAACCACTGTACTCTGACAAATGGTTGGGAAGGGCCAGTGCACTGTCCCTCACCCACTTTTGGACCAGATGTACTGCAAGGTCTGTGTAAAACAAGTGTGCCCCACACTGTGAAGGAAGAGGACACTGTGCCGCTTTTTGACTTTGTTGGGTTATGTGAGGTTTGGCATTCGGCTGCTTTTCCTTGATATAAAGATTGTGATGCTCATTGTAACTTTATTCATTAGCTTCTGCCTTAGTTATTGGGGAAGTATGACTTGTTATGTTTTTGAAGTCATGCAGATACACTTTTTTTTATTCTGCATTAAAACAGTAGGTGGCATAGTGGTTAAAGGGACTGTATTCTGGTTAAGAAAAAGCCTGAAGTGTGACGATATGCCATGACCTGATGCTTTACTTGCTTATTTGTTCTCTGTCTTCATCATGTCTTCATCATTGTGGGGTTTAATTATGAACTGGTCCAATCTGGTTGGGGTGTCAAAAGTCAATTAAAAGCATGTGAGGCTGTTTGATTTTAATTCTTGCTTTCTTTCCAGGGAACGTATCTCCAGGAGCCCTGTGCCGGACGGGACTGCAGTCGAGGATGTTCATGTATCCCAGAGAAGGGCAGCAGGGTAGGCAACGTGCACCTTACTCTCGCTCTCTTTCCCTCTGCCTTCATTTAAAAACAATCATTTTAAGTTTAATTCCTGTGTTAACCTCAACATCTCAGAATTCCGTGCCTCCAAATAGCACCTTTGCCTAAACAGAAGAGGCTGGCCGTCCCAGCTGGGGGGCATGAATTCTCATACTGACATACCCAATAGTTCAATATTAGTTTAAATACTAGAACTCGTGGCCATAGGTGGAAATAAGTGGGAGAACATTTTAAAATGAATTTGAGGAAGCACTTCTTTGCACAGCGTGTAGTTAGAGTATGGAATAGTCTCCCAGTTAGTGTAGTGCAAGATAAAACCCTGGGTTCCTTTAAATCAGAGTGAGAGAAGATTTTACCAACTCTGAGCTATTAGTTGAGTTCTCCCCAAACGAGCTTGATGGGCTGAATGGCCTCCTCTTGTTTGTAAATTTCTTATGTTCTTCCCCTTAACCCATTTTTGTTGATCTCCCAGCAACCAGTTGCTTTGATAATTTAGTGATTTAGTCAAGTCAGGCTTTATTATTACACCAACCATATTCAGCACATTGTTTATGTTGCCATGAAGTAACATTCACCAAATGGTGATGCTACATATATATGCTTAAAGTGCATCGATAGACAGGGCAAGTGCTGGGGGTGGGCACGGTTACAACACTGACAATTATCATATATGCTCAAATTTGGTTTGGCCACTAAGTGCTTTAGAAAGGTTCTCCTTCCCGTAGAAAGTCTGTAGTACTCCTCCATCCCTAATGTGGGCTGTGCCATGTGCTCTGTGCCCCCCGATCCCTAATGTGGGCTGTGCCATGTGCTCTGTGCCCCCCGATCCCTAATGTGGGCTGTGCCATGTGCTCTGTGCCCCCCATCCCTAACGTGGGCTGTGC